AAAACACATTTTGTGTTTTATTTTTCTTTCTTTCTTTCTTTTTTTTTTTTGAGAGAAGATCTTACTATATAGCCCTTAAATTCATGATCTTCCTGACAGCCTCCTAACTGCTGGAATTACAGGCACGTGCCACCACACCCACCAAAAATAAAAAAATTATCTTTTAAAAAGGGCTGAGGATATAGTTCAATGGTATAGCACTCCAAATTTTGATCCTCAGTACTTTTTTTTTTTTCTTAAGTCAAATCTGGAAGTTTCTAATGTTTTCAAACACAACAGCATTGCAGATGTGAAATCTAAGGCAATCTTTGTACTTTGAAGAACAATCGGGAAAATATCGATGCTGTAACTATCACCATCACCACTCTACCCAGCTCCAGAAAACTTGGAATTATGTTTAGGTTTGTGAATCTGTTTCCCTTATTGTGATCAGCTTTCCCTTTCAACATAAAAGACACCATTTCCTCACCTGCATTAGCTCTCTTCCCTTAAAAAACCACTTACCACACAGTTACAGAAACCACTGGATCTAGCCTCCTCTCTCTTTGGTTTTCTCATTCTTGGAACCACTTCTCCCTTTGAATGATGCCCTATGTGAGCTCCTTAGTCCAGTCTTCTTGCTCATTAACTCAACAATAACTATTCTCCTATTCAGTATATTTCCCAAGATTTCAGTCTAGAGGTGATCAAGAAAATTTTACTTAAGGACTCAGGAGAATATTAATTATATTTCTAAAATCTTGCTTGTTTTTAGCTCCAAGCAATCATTTCCATATACCTGGCAATCACACAATATCTGTTCCTCGAAATCTTTTAAGAAAAACAAAAGAATGAAGGATCACCCAAAGGGGCAGGTTAATACATCAACTCCCAAAGTCCCCCATATCTGAATGTTAAGCATTCCAATTATTCAGCACCACTAGATCCATCTGTTTGTATCATTGCAAAAAGAGATGGAAGTTCAAAGAAATCCCCAAAGAATCTGTTGGAGACTTTGAAAACTCTAGTGTTAAGAAATAAAATATCAGTTTCTTCTAATTATGGTTTGATTTTGCTTTCTTAATTCTTTCATGAACTTTCATTATTAGTCTCTGAGTGCTGTATTTTTCCTTCACCACAATTGTTAAAAGAAGCATCTCTCTCTGGGGATGTAGCTAGCTCAGTGAAAGAGCACAAGCTTTACATGCACAAGGGCCAGGTTCACTCTCCAGCACAAAGAAAATCCCAAAGTCATTCTTAGTTCAGATGAATGTGAAGCTTTCCTAATACACAAGGTGTGATCAAAACATATGGTGAATGCCAAACAATTTTAAATGATTAAAGTAAGAGACACATTGGCATTGATCCTGCTTACAATGCTTCCTGTTGTTCTGATCACACACTGTTCCTGCTACTTTTGGAAGCAGCTCTGGAAGTCCTCTTTCCTGAGTGTTTTCATGATACAGTGAATGCTGCTACTGTCACCCAACAGAAAGGCAGGCTCATATAAAACATCAGTGTGTCCTCCTCCACCTCATTCAACAGATCTGGCACAGTGCAACTCTGGCTCTTCTCCAAAGTCAAAATGACCACAAAAAGAAAATATTTTGAATCAGTTCAGGACACTGAGGCAACCACGGCACTGCAACTAAAGACATGAGAAAAGACCTTCAGAGCTACTTCAGAAAGTGGCAAAAAAAGTTAGGCAAAGTGTCTGTGAAGTGAGGGAGATTAAGGGAAATGGAAGTTTTACTGTAACAATTTTCTAAAATTTAAACATTCACCATATTTTTCAATCATACTTCCAAAGACATTACAATAATAAACAAAGTAACATTTCTTATAATAAAGTTATACAATGTTGAAATGACTGCAAAAGAAACATGAATACTCACATGCTGTAAGAGGAACAACTCCCAACCATGCAAAGGCCACAAGTGTATAATGAAACCAGTATCGTATTGCAGTGCCAATACTTGTAACCAGTCCAGCAAATATGTCTTGGATGGGAAGCCGAGAAGGCATATCTGGGGAATAAACTAGAAGCAAAAAAAAAAGATCTCATGAAGATTTTTAAATGGCTTAATTTAATTCATAAATACAAAATAAATATGAACAGCCACCTTAACATTCAATATAATTATTGTTGGTTTTTTTTGGTACTGCGGATCAAACTTAGGACCTTGTGCTTGCGAGGTAGGCAGCAGAGCCACTGAGCTCAATCCTCAGCCCTCAATATAATTATTGTAATTATTTTTCCTGTTAAAAAAAAGCGAATCCAATAGTTACAACACATTTACCCAAGAAGTCATTTATGAAGCAATCACATTTAAAATGGGAAGAACAGGGCCAGGGATTTAGCTCAGTGGTTCCACTGCCTGCCTCATAAGCGCAAGGTCCTGAGTTCTATCCCCAGTACAAAAATAAATTTAAAAAATGTGAAGAACAAAAAAGGCTTCTCAGCAAGAAAAAGTATTCAGAAGAATTTCACACGCTCTGCTTGTAACCATAAACCTCATAGAGATCAGTGTACATGTTTTAGTGCTCAAACAATATAACAATCTGGTTTCCCAAGCTATTCAAGATCCAGTAAAAGCAGCAGCAGCAAAAACTGAAGTTGATGGCACATGACCAAAAAAGAACTTCCAAACAGAAACTCTGGACGGCGCTTGAAGAGCAGTGACCAGCAGCAGGACCACTCCGCAAGCCAACTGCAGCCTGCTGCTATCTGCCAGCCAGCCCTTCATACACCTGTAATACTGTCCTTAAAACCTTCCTCCCACCCCTCCATTCCAGGACGGAACTCAGGACCTTGTGCTTGCCATGCAGGTGCAGCGCCACTGAGTTATATCCCCAGCCCTGTACTTAAAATTTCAAATGAAAACTTCAGCTCTTTCTGCTTCTCTGCAAACTGTACTTCAACACACTCAGAGAAAAGATAAATTATGCTATAGTTTAGAAAAACATCCCTTTAAGATGGTTCTAATGAAAGTTGCTGCTTATTCAAGAACTCCACTAGCAGTGAAACATACAGAACTACATACAGGAGGAAGATTTTTCTTATGAGGCCAGATATGGAATGATGATACCTAAGGTTTTCAAATCAATCATTTAGGGCTTGTAAGAACATTGTCACAAAGCTGTTCACACCAATACATATTATGGAGTAACAAATGGCAACTTCTTATAATAAGTACACATAGATCACTGACTTCAGTAAGGCATTATATATAGAAAAGCAAACCATTAAGCCAGTCAGGGAAAGTTTTTTGAGAAAAAGAAACAACAGCATATGAAAGTAAAATGAACACTAAAGTGTATAAAAGAAGCTTTTATTGGCCTTAAGGAAAAGCCTACACTATTTCTTATCAAACATCATGAAAATATTCAACAATTTAGTTTTAGTTTGTTACAAATTTTATGCATTTTTAGCTTTATGTATTACAGAAAATAAAAACCTGTAATAGATTTAGCCACCTGCCTCCTAAGCACAAGGCCCTTAGTTCAATCCCCAGTACCAAAAACAAAAACAACTATAATTTTTTTTTTTGCAGGGGGGAGACAGGGTCTCGCTATGTAGTTGAGACTGACCTGGAACAAACTATGTAGCCCAGGCTGGTCTCGAATTCACAGCAATCCTCCTGCCTCAGCCTCCCGAGTGCTGGGATTACAGGCGTGTGCCACCATGCCCGGCTCTAAAAAACTATAATAGATTTGATATTATTCTGATGGCAATGGATAAAGTTCTAAGACTGAAAATGGACTAACTTTAATCATTTACACTTGCCAAAATACAAAGTAAAACACTAACCTAGCTGGGATTAGGCGTGTGCCACCATGCCCGGCTCTAAAAAACTATAATAGATTTGATATTATTCTGATGGCAATGGATAAAGTTCTAAGACTGAAAATGGACTAACTTTAATCATTTACACTTGCCAAAATACAAAGTAAAACACTAACCTACAGCATTTATATTGAGCAGAACAAGAGGCTTTAAAAAGAAAATAAATGCTAGGCATAGTGGTATACACCTATAATCCCAGCACCTGGTGAGGCTGAAGCAGGAAGATTCCAAGTATGAGCCAAGGTTAGGCAAACTGAAAAATTTTTAAAAAGCTGGGATGTAGCTCAGTGAGAAGGTTCTAGGTTCAACCTCCAGAAGAGCATTAAATAAACAGATAAATAAATAAGGCTGAGGATGTAGTTCAGCTCTAGTGCACTTTTCAAGCACATGCCAAGGTCCTAGGTTCAATGACCAATACTACTTGCTTTAATTTAAAACTCTGTCTTTATTACTGTAATTCTAATGTGTACAACTTAATCTCAAACAACAGTCCAAATTTGTTTTAATGAAATCAAGGCAAGGCATTACTATTAGTTTTTCAATCAGATAGTATTATAGTTATATTTTCAAAAAAGAACCCTTATGAATGGACGTGGTGGCACATACCTGTAACTCCAGCACTCGGGAAGCTGAGGCAGGAGGATCACTAAGTTTAAGGCCAGCCTGGGCTACATAGTGAGACCTTGCCTCAAAATACCAAATGAGAACCCTTACATGCTGTATAATGTACACATGAAATTATATAAGCCTGGTATGACAGGATGCAACTGTAATGGCAGAACTTGGAAATCTAAGGCCAGAGGATTCACAGGAGTTTGAGGCCAGCCTGTCCTACATTAAGTTCAAGGCCAGCCTAAATCACATAGTAAGATTCATTTCCAAAAAACTAAAATTTAAAAAATTACAAATAAAATTATTTTTAAAAGGACAGATCATGAAAAGGAGGGCTGGAGAAGAATGAAAATAATGATAAAATGAGACAGATCTAAGTGAAAACCAGGTGACAGTGAGTAACGGGTACCTCATGTGGATTTGCTTTGTACATCTGAACATGTCTATAATTAAAAGGAAAGAAATAGGGAGCAACTTATAAAATGTATATGCATATGTTAAAAAAACAGTATTTAAAAATATTTTCCTAAATGGAAGAGTATTTTCTTTTTCCTTTTTTTTTTTTTTGGTACTAGGGATCGAACTCCCTTGCGAGGCAGGTGGTGGAACCACTGAACTAAATCCCCAGCCCAATAATTCTATTACTATGAAAGAGAATAAAATTGAAAATTGCTTCAAAACCACTTAAAACACCTTTTATTGCTGGTAATAATGAAAACATGAAAAAACGAAAAAACTTACTTGGTGTAAAAGCAAATCTGTGCTTGCATAATTCACAGTATTCTTTTCGACTGTGTTTCAGCCACTGAACTAAGCTGTAATCACAAACACATTCATAAACAGTATTTATAGAGAGATAGTGAGGTTTCATTGAAAACTCATGTTCTGTTTTGATTAAAACCCTGTGTATTAAAAAATCCTACGTATTACAGAGCTTTTACAATTTTTACTGTTTCAAACAGAATATTCTGAAAATTTCAAATTTAGAGCATTCTTAACTTTTTGTAAATGCCTTCTGAGAACAGAACTTACATCAGGTAAAGACAGTATGTACTATAATTTAAGTGAAAAAGTTCAATCAGTCTAAATTATACTCTTCAGAGCTACATGGATATGAACGAATCCAACCTCCCAAGATCTAACAGCGGTCTGATACTGTGGGCATCTGGAAACTCAATCTGACTCCTAGCTCTCTGCTGACTGGCCCACTGTGTGGTGCAGGACACAATACTTCTTCTGTCTATGTACTAGCTTCCTTACGTGCATTCCACCTCGGTTTTCTTGCAAAGGTAAATGAGTTAAGATGTATAAAAGGACTGAGAACAGTACCTCACAAAGCACTGTACTTCATCAATGTGGGCTAATATTATGCCACTCTAAACAGAAAAGCATAGCACGTTCCATGGACAGAATCTTCACAATACAGCAAATAACAAGCATGGCATTAGGGTTAGGGTTAATGCATTTCCCATATTTTTACAAATTCTAGAAGGGATTATGGAATAAGTTCATGGAAATGATCGTTCTTATTGTACAGATGACAAAACTGAAGCTCAGAATGGTACAATTTTCTAAAAGCATGACTTACCATTCTTGATGGATAAACTTAATACTGCCAGTACATACACAAGGATGATAAAGAGGTTTCTCAGGTGTTCCTTCTGACCGGCACACTCGACATATGTCTGTTAAGAGAAAGAAAAACTGAATTACTTTTGTGTGTAACTTAAAAAAAAGAAACAGACACCAAAACTAAAGTATTTTATGTTAAAGCAACAACACATCCCTTGGAAAAACATTAAACAGCAGCAGACAAATTGAAAATTGTGATTTAAATGATTCTTAAGTTTTAAACAAACTAAAAAGTTTCCTTTCCTTAAAAGTAAGACACGTTTTTCCTTAGACTAGAACTCTCTAAATAAAGCAGGAAGTAACAAGAAGTTTCTATGTAAAACTGTATTCTGCCAGGTGTGGTGGCACAGGCCTGTAACCCCAGCACTCAGGGGCTTAAGGAAGGAGGACTGCAGTGAGTTGGAGGCCAACCTGTGTTATGTACACACACCAACACCAAGTGTTACAGGATGTCATGTAGGGAACCTGGCTTGTACCTCCCTCCAGCTGGAGGAAGGAGGCAGCGTCCTTTGCCCCTCACTGGCATAATCTCAGGGTAGGCCTGCTTAAAACAAAAACACCAACTTTTTAATAAAGTCTGAGCCCACAATATCCAAACTGTCCATAATACAATCCAAAATATCTCCTACTAAGAACCAGGAAATCTCAACCTAAAGAAGAAAAGAAAATCAACAGGTGCTAACACTGAAATAATAAGACATTGGAAATTACCTGACAAATGTTTTAAAGTAGCCATCATGAATCCCAGGGCCGTGGTAGGAGAACGATAAATTGGAGGGCAGCCCCAGCAATTAAGCAAGACTCTGTCTCAAAGTAAAAATAAAAATAGCTGGAGATGTGACCCAGTGTGAAAGCATGGGATCAATCTCTAGTGGTACCAGAAAAAAACAAAACAATAAATGGACTTAAGAGCACAAAAGAAAAAGTGAATATGAAGATCCAATCAGAGAAATTAATCTAAATGAGAGAAAAAGCACACTTTTAAAAAAATCCTTGGAGACCTGGGCATGGTGGCACACGCCTGTAATCCTAGCACTCAATCCCAGCACTCGGGAAGCTGAAGCAGGAGGATCCCTGTGAGTTAGAGACCAGCCTGGGCTACATAGTGAGATCCAGGTCAACTACATGAGACCTTGTCTCAAAAAAACCAAAAAACAAAATCCTTGGAGAACTCTGAATGAAACAAAACTTCTAACAAAGTATCTAAAATTTGTATCAGAGTGTCAGAAGAGGAGAAAGTGGAGGTAAACAAAAGATTCAAAGAAACATAGTAGTCTCTCCTTGGGAAGGGGGGGTCAATGGACTAATGAAACTGTTTCCCCTATACATTCAGAGTCTCCCAAAACAATATACATTAGGAAAATAAAATTTTATATAAATATTTTAATACTAAATTTATTGAGACATCATGAGATTAATACAAGCTAGCTTTGGCTTCTACAATTGCAAGAGGTCCTCAAAGTGGTGGCCACCAGCTTCCAGACATTAAAACAGTAAATGGCTGAAACAGTAAATGCACTTTTTTGGTGCACTCTATGTATACCTGTGACATAGCTGACTATAAACTAGACAGAGTAAAAGACAAGTAACAATAACAATACAACAGGATAATTATAACACACTAATAAAACTGCCAGCATCACTACTCTCGCACATGGAGTAATCAAAGGGATTCTTAAACACAAGCACTGTGATACCAGGACAGACTGATAACCTGGTATCCAGCTACTAAATGACGAAGGAGGCTAGTGTATACAGCACAGATGCACCCACACAGGTACAATCTGCATGCTGGGCTGGAGTTCATCAAGAGAAGTAGCAATGGGAACAGTATGAAAACAATGACAGGCAAGACCTCAAGTAGGAAAACACAATCCAAAGGGAATTCTAACATCACTATTTCCAAGTACTAGTAATTAGTAACTCTCAAAATCTTCCTTTTTATCTATTTTTAGTTTTAGTGAATTGCACAACGAAGTATAAAAAATCAGTGAATGGGGAAATGATCATTCTTTATTGCTGAGTATATATACTAAAATTTCCCAAGCAAGTGCTTATTTCATAAACTCTATTCATCATAAAGATCACACTGAATTTTTAAATTTACCACTCACTATATGAACAATGAAAAACTGAGCATACTAGAAGGCTTCTTTTCTACAAATTATAATACACATAAACCCTTTAAAAGGAGTATAATTTTTATAAATGGTATTAAGTCAAGATATATTCTAAGCTATTAAAATGATCACCTGTCACATAAAGTATTATTTCCATTAATAATATTACATAGATAGATCAAATCAAATAAAAGATCTTTAAATTATGAGGTCTCTTTTATGGCTTGAATTCAGATGTCCCCCCAAAGCCTCACGCTTTTTCAGAGGTGGCTGAATCTAGAGTGTGTGATTGATTCATGGTGGGGCTAGGCTCGAGGGCACTAGGGGAAGATAGAAGGGGCAGAAAGACATTGTCAAGGTCCCCTGTTGCTTTTGCTACATTCAGTCTGCCATGTGCTACCCTGCCTTGGAGCCAGCTGATTATGGGCTAAAACCTCTACAAAGTATGAGCTAAATAAATCCTTTCCCCTTTAACTTTTGGTGTCGGGTATTTTGTCTCAGCAAGGACAGAAAAGTAACTAAGACAATCTCTCCCCTTAATTGGATCTTAGGAGAAAATGAAAGGGCAAGGAAATTTCTCAAAATAAAGCCATCCTGGGGGGCGGCCAGTTTAAACTCAAGTGGTTCTGCCGCCTGCCTCGCAAGCGGAAGGACCCAAGTTCGATCCCCGGTACACACACAAAAAAGTGTACCAATAAAATTTTTAAAATAAAATAAATAAATCCATACTTACATCATTCACAAAATCAATTTTAAGACATGAACTCATTATAGACTGTGAGCTCCCCCTGTCTGCACTGCCTAGTCTGGGTAAGTCAAGGCAGCCAACACTCGCTACTGAGTAAATGGATAGGACCAGACCAGCCCAGCCTCTCGATTCAGCTCTTACTGTGTGAGATCACTAACTTCCTTCTCTGCCTCCCCCACAAGATGTGAGTTCCTCCAGAGCTGGTGACTCTCTTATTGTCTACCCAAATGCCTCTCAATAAATATTTTTGAATAAAAGAACTTTGCCATTTGACTTGAATGTTTTTAAATTTCTACATGAGCCAGGAGTGGTGGTGCACACCTGTAATCCCAGCATTTGGGAGGCTGGGGCAGGATCACCTTGAGTTTGAGGCCAGCCAGAACTACATAGGAAGACCCTGTCTCAAAACAAACAAACAAACAAACCCTACTTGATATACCAAGGGACCTTTGATGTAGGCAATTTAAAAGTCTGGTCAGGCTGGAGACTTAGCTCAGTGGTGCCGCTGCCTGCCTCACAAGCACAAGAACCCCAGTACCAAAAAAAAAAAAAGTAAAAAGGGCTGAGGATACAGGTCAGCAGGAGAGCATCTCTGGGTTCAATTCCAGGAAGAAGAGGACAGGGGGTGCAAGGGTTGAGACCCAGTACTGGACAGGGAAAAAAAGATGGTATAATGACTGTGTAACAACGTGACTAAATGAATGCCTATGAACTGTAAATGGTGTAGAGCCAGGCACAGTTGCACATGCTGTAATCCCAGCATCCAAGAGGCAGAACTGCAAGTTCAAGGCTGGCCTAGACTGCACAGCAAGTCCCTGCCTCAAATCCTGCCCAAAAGTAGTGAATTCATAGGTTAAAATAACATGCTATATAATTACAAAAAAAATTTTTATCACACAATTATTATTACAAACCTATAAAAATGGAAAAGGTAAAAATTTAACATACTATCTAGCAATCCTAGCCTTTGTATTTAATGCAGTAAAATGAAAACTTACATTCATATAAAACCTATTATGAATATGTATAATAATTTCACTCATATTTTCCCCAAACCAAAATCAACCAATCCAAGGAACCCACAACTAGGTACTGAATAGAGTGTACATCTGACAACAGAATACTAAGCAATAAAAAGGAATGAACTACTGATATGTGCAACAATGTAGGTAAGAAGCAAATGTAGTAAGTGACAGAAGCCAAACTCCAAACAACACGTATTGTAGGACTCCACTCATGACACACTGGAAATATGCAGAACGGGTACATCTAAAGGAACACAAATGGACCAGTGGTTGCCAGGGCCAGAGAGATAAGGAAGGCAGCAAACCTTTAAAGGGTACGAGCATATTTGATAGGTTGACAATGAGACTATTATATACCTTGATTTTGCTGCCTACATGACGGTATACACATATCAAATTAGATATTTCATGAAGGTAAATTTTACTATATTTAAATGAAAGGGCTGGGGATATAGCTCAGGGACACAGCACCTGCCTGGCGAGCACAAGGTCCTGAGTTTGATTCCCAGCACCGGAAAAATAAATAAATAAAAATGAAGACTTTTCACAGTACTGCCAAGTCTTGGGAAACAAAGCAAATGAGAAAGAGGAATGTTATGAAAATAATAATCTTGCTTTAAAATGTCTTTTTTAAGCTGGGCGTGGTGGCACATGCCTATACTCCCAGCACTCGGGAGGCTGAGGCAGGAGGATCACTGTGAGTTCGAGACCAGTGAACTGTGAGACCAGTGAGACCAGGGCTACATAGTGAGTTCCAGGTCAGTCTCAACTACATAGTGAGACCCTGTCTCAAAAATAAATAAATAAATAAATAAATAAATAAATAAATAAATAAATAAATAAAATGTCTTCTTTCTTTCCTTTTTTGGAGACAGCATCTCACTATGTAGTTCAGGCTAGGCTTAAACTCACTATGCAGTCCAAGACAGCCTTGAACTCACAGCATTCCTCCTGCCTCAGCCTCCTGAGTGCTGGAACTACAAGCGTAGGTCTCCACACCTGGCCTTCCTTGCTCTAAAATGTGATCTAATGAAACTGTAGACTGAAGTATCTTTCAATGAGTATGTTTATTTCATGCACTCGGGTGGGAATGCTGTTAGAGACTGTGGAAATCATCACCATTGTTGACCAAATATTTCTAGCTTTCCAACTTTCTGAGCACATGGTATAATTAATTGCACTTCCCTGCAACCTCTAAAATTAGGCATAGAAACTGACTTGCTTAGTCATAAATATGAACAATGATGCGTTTCTGTGTAGAAGTATTTTATACAATGAACACAATTCATCACACTACATATTCTAGTCTCGGTGGCTGGAAAGGCACTTAGTAAGGAATGGTGCTTTCATGAAGCTGTTTTCTCCAATGACTACAATTAAGAAAAGCATTCCTCTCAACGCACACTGGACACACATCAGTGAGAAGTAAACTTGTTGTTCTAAGCTGCTGAAGTTTAGGGGCAACTAACTACATCAAAATTTAGCTTATCCTATCTCATACAGGATCTTAGCAGTTTCAAAAACATGACACAAGTACAACTACTGACACAGCAGGTTGAGAAATAATCACCTGTCTTGTACTAGAACCAATCCCATCACCCAAAACCTGTACAGAGTGCCAAGGACAAGGCTACAAAAGGAGTAAAGTTAACAAAAGGTACAGCCTGAGATTTTTTATTCAAAGTTCAATCACATAGGGTGTTCTGTGGTGAATTAAGAGATATTTACTATATGTGCAGTAAGACTATAAATCTTAAAAAACCACAAATCTTCCCAGGCCAAAGAAAATCAATGCATCTTGTTGTTATGAATGCAAATTCCTGGTTTTGAAAGGCCATTTTATTTTTTCTTGTGGGAATTTGGTTATATGAATAACTACAAGCATATCTTTTAAAGTTCCTAGCCCAGTACTCAGCACAATAAATATAATGTGGGGTTTTGTATGTGCAATTTTTAATTTTTAATGAAAAGCTTCAAGTCCTTCATAACAAAATATGGAGAAGGCACAGAAGAGGAGAGGAAAAGGAACCACCACCAGTGAATGATTATCAACTGCAGCTTCCTGCAGCACCACTGTAGGTCTGACTGACCCATTCACATTTTTCTGACCATCAACTTCAGCAGTACATACTAAGTGCCTATCATGAGGAAAAAAAGAAAACTTTTAGAAGCTGTGGACCACATTATAACTCAACCTGTGATCTATCCTGAAAGTTCTTTTATGCAATAAGATTTCAAAATCTCTCCACTTATAATTTTTTAAAAGATTTTAAAAATTACTATACTTTTAGAAGTCTTAGATTTACAAAAACTCTAAGACAGTACAGTTCCCAAAAAGCCAGCACATATTATCCCCTATTATTATTTACTAGCTGTTGCTTTTCTTACATTTAATGAACCAGTATTGATACAGTATCACTAAAGTCTAGCTTCCTTAGGATTCCTAAGACTCTACCCAACACCCTATTCCGTCCCATCACCCACATACACGTAGTTGTCCTATCCACAGGCTTCTCTGGATTCTGGTAGCGTCTTGGATTCCCCTTGTTGTTGGTGAGCTCGACTGCTTTGAAGAATATTTTCAGGTACATTACTGGATGCCCCTAAATGGGAAACTGTCTGATTTCACGATTAGTTTGGGGCTACACGTTTTGAGGAGGAAAATTACATAGGAAAAGTGCCATTCTCATCACGTCAAGGTCATATAACATCAACATAACTCATGACAGTACTAACCTCCTTTCATCTGGATGAAGCAAATGACTCATTGATTACCAACAAAATGTTTACAATTATAATGGAAAAACATGAAAAATATATTATTGATAAAGATTATTTAAAAATGTCTGTGGATACCCTATATATCCAAAAACAGGTAAGCAGCTATACATATTCACTGTATGGAATATGTTCAGGTCCTTTAAAATAACTAATATAACTGCACAGCACAATGTTAAATAAACAAAGCAGGAATAAAACATGAACACACATTCCAGCTCCAACTAGGTAAAAACACAACAGCCTAAAAGAGAAAATGCAGTAAACAAGTGCCACTGTTACTGGTTAGATGAGAATACGGTTGCTGTTATTTCCCCTGCTTTCAATTGTCCTGTGTTTTGCTGAAACTTCTACAATTATAAGGGAATAAAATGTTCTAACTGCTCAAAGTTTACCAGAAAACCATTTTTTGATTGTAAAATGGTATCTACAAAAAATTTGGATGTGGGAATTAGGCCTTGCAAAATTCCTAATTCTCCATGTTTCCCAAATTTACATTACTTCCTTAGGCTTCCAGATTATTATCATTACTCAAGTAACAATTCTCCTTTACTGTTGCTCCTGGAAGCCTGAAAACTCTATTTTCTGGCTCCCTGCTGACTAGACTTGAAATAAGGCTGCCAGTGAGAAGGTCCTCTACTAGGGAGGGGAGGGGAGGAGAGGGACAGGGGAAAGGGAAGGGGAGAGGGAGGGAGGAAGGAAAGGAGGGAGGGGGAGAGAGGGAAAAGGAAAAGGAAAAGAGGTAAGGAAGGAAGGTCAGTCGGTCGGTCGAAACCATTTTCTACTTTTGACTCTAAAAACCAACAGTGTCAGCTAACTGCAGGTACTGGGCTCCTGAAGTAGCCAGAAAAGTGGTGGTGGTGGCTCTGGCAGCAGCAGTGCAGGCAATGCCTTGAACAGTTCCAAAGGAGAAAGCCTGTTACCATCTGTCTCCTCTCAGTCCCAAATTCTTCCTTCAATACCTGGTTAGTGATAAGAACTGAACTCTTTAGCTTTTTGTTTGTAATAGAAGGGGCTGCGGGGACATGGAAGAGGAAGGGGTGGTTATTACTCTGGCTACAAAGTTGGTAGGTTTGCTTTAATGACCTCCTTCCCATATCCCTACTGATAAGGATGCAAACCACCGCAGGTCATGCACAGAGACACACAGGGGTGTACCAATGCCTTCTGCAGAGTCACCTGTCAACTATGGGCCCCATACCTTGAACACTGTTTTCTGCTTCCTGGAAAAAGCAGAGGATCATTTTACATTCTGTTTTTTGGGGTTTTTTTTTTTTTTTTTTTTTTT